GGGGCTTTAAGCAATTTCCTCAAGTGCAAATGAAGAACATATTATACAATTAAGCTCAAGGAATCCTATGATATTGACACATATAACAGTTCAAAACTTTGATGCGAAAGCAACTACATCCCTTCGTTAAGTTATTTCCTTGAATTCTCTATTAAGTTCCTTCTCGCAGTGCTTCGAAAGCTGAACTATGAGAGGGTCCTCATGTCGTCGGGGAGGGTGGGATGAAGGGTCATTCAAGTAAGTGAATCGCTTCCAGCACTTGGCTACTGAGCCTTAACATGGAAAGGGATTCTGTGAGACGACGTGAGCAATTTTCGTTTTCCCTCCACTGTTCTGAATCCCCTCTAAGGAAATGAGCGCCATTGAGAAGAAATATTGGGAGCAACGGCACAAACACGGAAGGAATCTAATGCGAAACGAGATACGGGCTGAAATTAGGAGGAAATTTATTGTCGTCCGTCCCGTGTCTGCCCCAAGTGAACGGAGAGTCCGTGATCATATTGGCTAGTGTCTTTTATTTGGAGTTTTCATAGTAAGGTCGCTTTCTGGGAATTCCACCTCAAAGATTTCCTATTTATGCGTGTGATTTGTCCCACGCTTTTCTCAATAATAACCAAGAGCTGTGCACTTTTGGTGTCCTCACAAGTGGATAGATGCAGGCTACATTACTGAAATGCTCCTGGATTCTAGTATTACGTAACACCAGTACTCTATATCTGGCGTTCGAGAGCTCGTGGAATAACCCGTGATTAGATTTATTTATGGAGATCGATTCTGTCACTGTGCTGATCAGCTGCTTTATGTGGTAATCAGCGCTTTTCAATGTGTGCAATCCTTTTGAAGGCAAGATTCGGGATAGAATACTTACTTACTTGGATACTTGGATGCTCGTTGTCAGCCGATGATCCTCAGCGGCGAGCACACGCTTCCCTCCATTTTTGACGATCTTGAGCGGTTTGGGCCCAGTGTTGGCCCGCATCTTCTTGAAGTTTCTTCAGGGAGTCTCTCCATCGTGTTGCAGGACGGCCAAGTGTGCGCTTCACGTCTCGTGGATACCAGAACGTAACGCGTGTGGTCCACCGATCATCCATGCGTCTGACCATGG